TTTTTCTTCTTTTAAAATACAATTATTCGAACCATCTTCGTGTTGCCCCTACTCAAATTCACCCCAATGGTTGGGCTTATATCGTTGCCTTTGAAGAACTGTGCTCATCGTTGTCTGTGTCGAGCACCGTACCCCTGTTTCTATATTTTTTTAACATATATACCCCCGGACTGGATCCGAGCCTGCTGAATTCAAAGGGTGGACCAGCATCCGAGGTCGTTTCGGTAAGCCTTCCCGGAGGTTATTTTCTGTGTTTAGTGAGTCATTCAAAGATTTCAAAGGCGCTTTCTTTAAAGTCGTCGCCGAGGTTGGCGCAAGACCGTGGTTTCTGAAGGAGGACAGGGAAGGAAAATTTCCTCTATACTGGTGCTATGATCACCATCTTCGGAAGCCGGCTGATTTCAAGCTTGGATTGTCAGCCAAGGAAAAGGCCAACAGCAAGACCTTATTGGATCATGTCGGCTCTCAAGGGCATTTGAGCGCTGCTTCCTTAGTGGCTAGCATATATATTTTGGCAATGTTGTTTTCTTTCTTTTTTCTTTTGCTTACATTGGTTCTGTTTTGCTTTTGTGTAGGCTGCGAATCCTGCGGCAGGTAAAGTTCCGGACTACGTTCTATCCCGGAGAGGGAAAGCTGCCGCTCGTCCTCCTGCTGTCCATAAGCGACCTAGGCCTATTAGCCCCACTGCCGGAGCTGGAATGCCCACGCCTTCTAAGACGGCTGAAATATCAGTGTTGGACTTAACTAATGATGTTGATCGGTGGCTCGACCACGGCAACCTCCAAACTTCTGCTGGAATCGAAACCATTGGTGCCACACGAGTTGTCGTGACCATGGACCGAGGTTCTTCATCCCTCAATCCCCTTGCTTCTGGACTTAGGAGAGGGGCTTTGTGGGAAACCGGGGTGGCTACCGAACTTCGTGGTGTAACCCGCCCTCCCCCAGAATTTTATGGAACTGGAATTTTGTCAAAGGCCCAAGAGGAGGAGCTTCAAAGGGCTGAACTGTACGCCTATAAATTGGCTTCTTTTGTAAAGCTGTACTCGTTGTTGCTGGAGAAGTACTCAGAAGTATGTGCTAAGAAAGATACCTTGCACGCTGATAAGAATACCCTTCAGGCTGACCGTGATAAGGTGGCTGAAGAGAATAAAAATTTGTCCATTACGGCAGCGGACTTGAAAACATCCTTGGAATAGGCCCAGGCCGATTTGAAACTTGTGTCGGATTTGTTTGGCCTGGATGCGAACAAGGATGCTATTATAAATTTTTTTAAAGACAAACTGGCTGCTCTTACCGAATCAGAAGCGAAGAATAAGGCCCTGGATTTGCAAGTCTGCAAGTTGCAAGCCAACGTCCGAGCTCTGCAATCTGATTATGATAATAGCCAAGCCATGCTCGAAAAGGCTGTCGGGTCTGCTTTTGATAATGTTGTTAATCAAATCAAGCACTTTAATCCCGACATGACCCTGGATGTTGACCAATTGGACTGTTTTGGTTATGTTCTTGATGGTGTTTTCTTCTCATCCACCCCAGAAAATGACGTAGCAGCCGGGGAGGGTACATCTGTGAACCGAGCAATGGGGGCCGCAGGGCAACAATTCGAAGATGAGATGAGAGACATGTTCAGGAATATGCCCAGTAACTTGAAGAGCCGGGATGCCGGTCTATTTTGAAATCATTTTTGCTTTTTGTTAATATTTTGCTGACTCTATGCCACATGCTAGCTGTTTTGACCAGTTTGAAATGATTTGACAATATTTGCCAATTTCGTGTGCATGATTTTAGTTTATGTTCGCGAAATGTTTTAAAAGATTTTTAAGGTGTCCCCCTACTTTCACGTTCGTCCATATTCGAGGAAGACGGGTTCAACTTCCCCGTCCCGACTTGCGAGGCTAGAACGCTCTATCCTGCCCTTTGGGCAGGACGGGTTCAAATACCCCGGGTTTATTTACGAGGCTAGAACGCTCTATCCTGCCCTTTGGGCAAGACGGATTCAAATACCCCGGGTTTATTTACGAGGCTAGAACGCTCTATCCTGCCCTTTGGGCAAGACAGATTCAAATACCCCGGATCCCCTTACGAAGCTAGAACGCTCAGCCCTGCCTTTTGGGCAGGACGGGTTCAAATACCCTGGATAACCTTACGAGGCTAGAACGCTCATCTCTGCCTTTTGGGCAAGACGGGTTCAAATACCCCGGATTCCCTTACAAGGCTAGAACGCTCATCCCTGCCTTTTGGGCAGGACGAGTTCAAATACCCCGGATTCACTTACGGGGCTAGAACACAACCCTGCCATTTGGGCAAGACGGGTTCAAATACCCCCGATTTGCTGACAACATAACCATTAAAAAGGAAAATGAAATTTATTCGAATTTATTCATAGCTTAGATTGCTTGGTACAATAAAAGAAAAGATGGGAGGTAGACTTGGGTCTTTTCAACTATAATACTTTTTCAGCTTGTCTGCGTTCCATGTTCTTTTGACATGCTTTTCCCTGCGAGGTCTCTAAAACATAGGCTCCTCTTGAGAGTTTTTCTTTTATTCTGAATGGCCCTTCCCATCTCGGAGCTAGCTTCCCATCAGCTGCATTTCGTCCTCCCACATCTGCCCTTCGCAGCACTAATTCCTTTGTCTCAAATGACCTGGGCTTTACTTTCTTATTAAACCGATTAGCCACCAGCTGCTTAGCCATATAATTTCTACAGTGTTCCATAACCCAACCTTCATCTATCAGGTCCAGCTCTATTGCTATTTTCTTGTTGTTCTCTTCTTCTGCTTGCGACAAAGCTTGGACTCTTCTCCAAGATGGCTCCCCCAATTCTACCGGGATCATAGCTTCGCATCCATAGGTTAACTTGAATGGGGATTCCCCAACAGAGGTCTATATTATGGTTCTGTATCCCTACAACACATAGTACAGTTCTTCTACCCATTTTCCTTTAGCAGATTGCTTCATACGCCTTCGAAGTCCTTCAATTATGACTTTGTTAGCAGCTTCTGCCTGGCCATTTGTTTGAGGGTGCTCAACTGAGGCAAAGCGATGCCGGATGTGGAAGCTTTCCATCAGATTTTGAAACCCTTTACTTGTGAACTGGGTTCCATTATCTGTTACCACCTCAGCCGGAATCCCGAATCGACATATTATGTTCCTCTCCAAGAAGCGCTAAATCCGGGCCAAAGTGATGGTGGCGACTGGCTCTGCTTCAATCCCCTTAGTGAAATAGTCAACTGCTACCACTAACCATTTCAATTGGCCCTCAGCTGCCGCAAATGGACCCAAGAGGTCAATTCCCCTTTTGAAGAACGGCCACGGAGCCGTGATCAAATTCAACTCCTCAGGGGGAGCCAGCAGATTCCTACCGTGCTTTTGACACTGATCGCACTTCTGTACGTGCTCTTTTGCATCATTGGTCATGGACGGCCAAAAGTAACCGGCTCGAAGCGCTTTTCGAGCTAGTGCCTTACCCCCGACGTGCTGACCATTGATGCCCTCATGGATTTCAAACAGAACATACTGGGCCCTATCCGAATTTAGACATTTTAGTAGTGGGGAAAAATGTCTTTCTTATAAAACTGTCCTTCTACCATAGTATATGACGCCTCATCCCGGACTAGCTTCTTGGCCTCCTCCTTCTCAGCAGGCAATATCCTTTTTTCGATGTATTCGATGATGGGGTAACGCCAGTCACTCACCTGCGTGATCTGCATGATGCATGTCGGTTCCGAAATACTTTGTTCAATCACAGTCCTATAGTTTCCCCATCTTTTTGTGCTTGCCAATTTGGACAGTATGTCTGCTCTACTGTTCTCATTTCTCGGAATGTGACTAACCTCTACTTTTTCGAAGTTTGTCATTATCTGTTTTGCATCTTCAAGATGTTTTGTCAGCAAAGGTCCTCTGACCTGGTAACTTCCCTCAATTTGAGAGGTGACCAACTGGGAGTCACTATAAACCTTCACTTTTCGAGCTCCAAGCTCTTTAGCCTGCAATAAGCCGGCTATGAAGGCCTCGTACTCCGCCTGATTGTTGGAAGTTTCGAAGTCCATCTGCATAGAGTATTCAATTGCAACGCCATCAGGGTTTTCAATGATAACCCCGGCTCCACTTCCTTTTGGATTGGAGGATCCATCGACATACACAGTCCAAGTATCTGGGCTACTGGAGTCCGTATGTTGGATTGAAGTGAGCTCTCGAACGAAGTCGGCCAATGCCTGAGACTTGATCGCTTTACAGCTTTCGAAAGCTATGTCAAATTCTGACAACTCCACAGCCCAACTCATCATTCTTCCTGCCAAGTCCGGTTTATGAAGTATTTGCCGGATTGGCAAGTCGGACTGCACCAGGATCCTGTGTCCTTGAAAGTATGCTCGAAGCCTTCTTGCCGAGATTAAGAGAGCAAAAGCTACCTTCTCCAATCGTTGATACCGGAGCTCGGCCCCTTGCAAGAGCCGACTCACAAAATATATCGGTTGCTGACCCTCTTCGTTCTCCTGTACTAGAGCCGAGCTGACAGCCACGTCTCCGACAGATAGATACAAAATTAAAGTTTCTAGCTCCCTTGGTTTTGCTAGTACTGGAGGTGAAGCCAGTTGCCTCTTAATCTCCTGGAATGCAGCTTCGCACTCCGAAGTCCATCCATACTGCACTTCCTTCCTTAACAATTTGAAGAAAGGCAAGGCTGTCTCTGCTGACCGAGGCAAGAACCGGGTGAGAGAAGCCAAACTTCTTGTTAATTGCTGTATTTATTTCTTATTTGTTGGTGTCGTCATCCCCAGCACGGCCCCACACTTATCTGAATTTGCCTCAATCCCTCTATGCATTAACATAAAGCCGAGGAATTTTCCTGCAAAGACCCCAAAGGCACATTTTGAAGGGTTCAACCGGATGCGATGCTGTCTCAACTTACCAAAGGTTTGCTCCAAATCTCTGATGTGTACTGCCATATCGACCGACTTTACTATCATGTCGTCGATGTACACCTCAACGTTCTTGCCCAGCTGATCAGCAAATACCTGATTCATCATTCTTTGCTAAGTGGCTCCCGAATTTTTTAATCTGAAAAGCATCACATTATAACAGTAATTCGCCTTCTCCGCAATGAAGGTGGTTTTCTCCTGGTCTCCAGGGTGTAATGGAATTTGATTATACCCTGAGTAAGCGTCCATGAAAGACAACATTCGGAACCCGGATGAGCTATCAACCAATTGATCTATGTTAGGCATTGGGTATGCATCCTTGGGGCATACCTTATTTAGGTCTGTGTAGTCAGTGCACACCCTTCATTTTCCACTTGGCTTTTTAACCATGACTACGTTAGATAACCAGGTTGTGTATTGTATTTCCCGATGAATCCTGCCTCCAGCAATTCCCTCACGTGATCCTCCAATACTTGTCGACGTTCCCAGCTGAGCTTTCTCTTCTTCTGAGCCACCGGCTTTGCACCGGGGTAAACGGCTAACTTGTGGCAGCAAAAGGCAGGATCTACCCCAGGAATTTCTGAAGTCTTCCAAGCAAAAATGTCACTACTTCTCCTTAGACAGGCGGCGAGCTGGGCTTTCTCTTCACCCGTTAACCCTTTGCCGATCTTCACGGTCTGCCCCTGCTCACCTACAGTTATCTCTTCTAGCTCTCCATCGAGCCTTGGCCTTGGCATCTGGGCATCGTCCCTCATATCTAACTCCACCATATGAACGGAGCTCTGCTTTGAGGGTTTATGGCCATTCTGCTTGATCACAGCTATAACTTCAGGATCCTTATCCACCATTCGTACCGACTTGAAGTAGCAATCTCGAGACTCCTTTTGGTGCCCTGTTATGGTGAGCATCGTACCCTGCTTACCAACCATCTTGAGTTTTTGATGCTTGGTTGAGACTAACATGTCCCAATCATGGATGGTAGGTCTTCCCAAAATCACATTGTACTCTGAAGGGAAATCGGCTACGATGAACCTCACCCTTTCGGACTTGTACGCGTCCGTAGTCCCCAGAGTTAGTCAGAGGTCAATATACCCCCTAGGGGTGGTGTTGCAACCATTAAACGCCATTAAAGCCGTGTTACATGGCTTCAAATCTTCCTCATCCAAATTCATTTTTTTGAATGCCTGCCATAAAATTATATCAGCGCAGCTTCCATTTTCTAGAAAAAATCTTCTTAACTCTGCAGTTGACTAGCGTTCCTGTAATCACCAACCCATCAACATGCCTTGGCATTACATCCTCCAGCTCCTTCTTTGTGAAATATAACAACGGCGGCTCTGGTTCTTCTTCTTTAAACTTGGGGCGTTCCCTTAATGAGAGCACCTCCCTCAAGTATTTGCGTCGGGCGTTCATCGTGTCACCCCCGCCACCAAAAGCTCTGTTGATCACTTTACATTCGAATTCCGGCTCCTGGAACTCGTCATCCTCCTTGGCCGGCTTCTTATTCCGACCTTCCTCTCTGAACTTCTTATCTTTGGGGGGCTCATAAGCCGACCCCCTCTCCTCTTTCTGTTTCTCCATCCTTGAGTCCGGATCAAATACTGTCGCAGCTTCCCCTCCCTAACATACTTCTCAATTTCGTCTCTGAGGTCCCAACACTCATCAGTGGTGTGACCCGGCCCGTCATGGAATGCACATTATCGTGACTGATCTAACCCAGCTGGGTTCTGCAATGGCCAAGGTCTTTCCAACTTCATCATATCTGTTGAGGCGACCTCACGCCAGATTTGCGATCGGGGAGAATTTAGGGGGGCATATTTGTCAAATCTCCCCCTCACCTGGAACCTGTCATCTTGTCTTTTTCCTCGAAGGTCATTTTCTCTTCGACCTCCGAGTTTTTCTCCCTGACCAGGTTGATGTCTTTGGTCGACATTTTCTAGTTCCATCTGTTCGAGCTCCAGGTACTTTTTAGAGCGCGCGTTAAACTCAACCAAGGTCCGAGGTGGCTCTTTATATATTGACTTAGCTAACTGTGATGTTCCATGCAGCCCGGCTATTACTAAATCTAAGTGAACGTTCTCGGATAACCCGGGTGAAAGAAAAATGGCCTTGAAGGCCGTAGGCATGTGATGATGAAAACAAAATTTTCAAAGCGGAATTACACATACCATATCAGGAAACATGCTTTAGGACATGGATGTTACCTTGTTTGTTTTCCAAAACTTGAAGATGATCAAGGTGAGGCTTGAAGATACAAGCCCTCTAATGATGATCCACACCACCCACGTCAAGATGCAAGAACTCTTTCTTGAAGAACCACCAAGTGATCTCCATAAAGAGACTTGCCATGCGCTCAATAGGTGAAGGAGGAGGTAAGGTGAATGTGTTTAGAAGAGTGATATTTTCAGCAAGAAAACATCATAAAAGTGGCACATGGAATGGAGTAGAATTGGCTAGGTGTTTTGTGAAAAACCCTAAGGAGAACCTACCCAAGTTGGCGCACAAGAGTGTGATGAGAGAGTCATGATGCAATCACATTTTTCACTTAAAAAACTGATTGAAGTGGCGCACAAAGAGGGAGAAAAAGGTGGAGTTGTTGCAATTCAAAATTCCCAACAACCTACCTTCGAATCCTCATGAGACTAGGTCTTAACCTAGTCAAAATTCTGATCTAATGGCCATCATATGGCCAACCATATGTGCGCCCTCTTCAGCCCCAGAAATGGTCCAGATACGTTGAGCAGTTGCATTCAAATTTGAACCAACTCACTCACTGATTCTCTCAACCAACCAAATCTGATTGGAGCTTATTTGGTTGACTAGATGACACTTATAATCACACCAAATCAGCGCCCCAAACAGCCCTTGGTGATCTCCAAAGATCTCCTCTTGATACAAGGGATTTATTCCAACAAGATCTTATCTTATCCTTTTGTTATGAAACGACTTTTCTTAGTCAATTCAAATTCAAACATTTAAATTCTAAATTCAAATTCTAAATTTAAATTCTAAATTCAAATTTCAAATTTCAAATTCAAAATTCAAATTTCAAAATTCAAAATTCAAATTTTTGATAATTAATTTAACTAATTAAATTAATTAGTAATGTCTTGGACCATCCAAGCCCATTACATGGTCCATGAGCCCTTTTCCTTTTTAGGTGGGCTTCCAAACTTCTTCTTGGGCTAACAATCATTATTAGGCCCAATACCTTTAATGCTAGATCATCATGACAATAAGGTGTTAGTGTGTGACTCATTAGGTCCAACATAGCCACTGACATAAATGGGCTTGGGCCCAACAAGCCCACAACCCATTTAATGACAACACAGAGCACTAGCAATGCTTTGTTGCCTCGGAACTAGTTAGATTAATGACTTGATCATCCTATTATACATATTTGGTTACCGTATATGTTTCCTTTCGTCTCGGTTAAATTCCCATTAAACCTAGGGTAAGGAAATGTATCAACCCTTGCGGTTTAGGGTAAGCTTTATTCGAAATAGGGAATCTTCAATTTACTGACTCTAAAGGCAGATCATCTCATGATCTCTTTTACTATGCATAGATTCCCGAGTCCCAGTAAAAGTCATCCTGATTTCTCCGGTTTACAGATAACCTAATCTCTCACAGAGATTTGACGAATTCCTTCGGCTTATCACCCTAGCCCTGTGCTCTTTCAAGACAAGCCCAACAGTGTACCTATGAGTCTCCATGTTTCAGGAAGACGAGGTATACAATCAAAGCATGCCTTCTAGAACACAGTCTAGGTAATAACTTCTGGTCTAAGGAAAGACATACCCAAATATAAAGAGACTACTCTAATGATACTATCTGTGAGATTTCCTCATAGAGTCTCTTTGTGGGTCTGTTCAGTGCGAGCTATACCCTTATAGATCCACCCACGACTTTAGCTAAGACATCTCCATATCTGTAGCACATGAGGTCTTTACCTTGTATCCAAATACAAGTAGATAAGTCGTGCTAGTCTTATCCTAGATCACTGATCCCCATTCTCAGTGTCTCTAGACTAGGAACATAAAATTAGGAATAAACGTGTGGTATCCTTGAATTCTCATGATCGTGATCTCATCACAGATACTCAAGAGATACCTGTTCTATTCCAAGGGGTTTATCCAGTTACTCACATAAAATATTAACAATAATATTGAGACAAAATATGAAACAGGATAAAGAGTGCTTTTATTTATTTGCGACAATATAAAAGGTCCAGATATATCCTAATCTAATCAAAAGATTGTCTCTGGGACATCCAAATACTAACACTGGGTACCTGCAAGGCGGCCAATTTGAACCGGTCCAGGTATTTTTGTAATGTTTCACCGGGTTGTTGCTTAATCTTCCCCAACGCGAATTCTGACTTCGGCTGCTTCTTACTGGTGGCAAAGTTGAGCAAAAACCGGCCACCAAATTCTTCAAAGGATCTGATAGACCCAGCTGGTAACGACAAAAACCACGCCTGGGCCGCACCAGTTAGCGTGGTTGCAAAAAGCCTTGTGATCAAGGGTTCTTCTATCCCTTTGATATACATCGTTGTGTCAAAGGCATCTAAGTGTACTTGAGGATCCTGCGTTCCGTCATACTTGATCAGCTCGGATAAATTCAAATTTTCTGGATATGGAGCTTCTACGATCTCATCCGCAAAAGGACTGTCGTTATACTGCCCCCTGTTATACTTCCTCTGATATACCCCGGTTACGTCATCCGAATTTTGGACAATAGGTCCTTTACGGTGGAGGTGGGGGATCTCGGCCAACAGCGCCGCATCCTGTACATCCCGCCTTTCTTCGTACCGAGGTTGCTGGTGATGACCCGGATTACCTCGGCCTTCAGGATGCCGTGGTTGTTGATTGGTACCCGGGTTGGCCGCAGTCTGTAGAGGTCGGCCAGCGTTAGTCCTTGCTGGACGACGAATTTGTTCCTGGTTGTCCTGTTGTGGGTTTGCGATCCGTAGGTCTGTCATGACCTATGTGATGGCTCGCGCGGGATCTGGGTTAGTAACCCGCCATAGCTGAGCTTCCAGTTCCCGGATCTGTCTTGCATTCGCTCGTTGCTGCAGCTCATTTCGCTGTTCCAACTCCTCC